GGGGCCAGGAAGAATTGAGAGGGAGGGAGAAGGTGTAACCTTTGTGCGAGCACAGGTCCTTTTTTCTCCTGGTTGACAAAGTCTTCTCTGAATTCAATCTGCTTGCCTTTTTTTCTCCTTTTTGGTCCTCCCTGCATTGACACCCTGCTCCCCCACATGAACTGAGTTTCAGGCCGCCATGCCGTATCTGATGTGTTGGGTACCCCAACCCGGTCTGTCCTCCTGTGGTGAGAAGTGGGTGCTCTGTCTCCTCCTGGAGCCTGGAGCAAAGCCAGCATTGGTGCAGAACCAGTGTTCTCACCCCTCCCACCCCCACCCCCTCTGAGCATCCAGGTGTCCTGGGTCTGGATGGATTTTCCCCACTCCTTGCAGGCTGAGGATGCTCTTTGGGGGCAGAATGAATCCTACTCATGGATACCCTTCACACAAACACCCCAGCCTATGTCCCTTTTAATTTCCCCATTGGGAAGGGAGCATTTTGAGAAACCCAGTCCAAAACCCACCAGCACACAGAACATGTTTTGCGTCAACAAAACGCTAAGCCCCTGTGTTGGGGTCTGGTTGACCCCCAGCTGTACTTTTGCACCCTATGTGGCTGTGAGAACCCACATGTGAGTCTGGGCAGGGTCACAATCGACCTCACCTCGCTGCTTGTTTCACACTTTCTGGCCCTGCCCCTGCAGACTCGTCCTTCTCCACCTGCCCCGGAAAAGAGGAGCGTGTGTGGGGCCCAGCCTGTGTCGTGGGATTTCCCCAACTCCGTTGAGTTGTTTCTGCTGCCACAGTGCAAAGAACAAGCAGCTGTTGGGTCAAAAGCCTCCTTTTGCATCAGAAAATGTTGAGTGTCTAACAGTAGAACCTCAGTCCTTTAATGTTTGTCCTGGGGCTTTGCAATGATGGCTTTAGAAAAGCAACAGAGCTGTGCTTCGGTTGATGCTTTGGGTTTGTTTGGAAAGGTGGTTCACTGCTATTAAAACCCATTTCATTAATTTGGTGAAAGCCATGTAGTAGTTTCTTCTTCCGGGAAGAGAATACTGAACACATCACTTTCACCCTGGATCAGTGATGTCAAACACAGACACGAAAATGTTTGCATTCTCCATACTGTGCTGGGTGTGTTGTTTTAAGCTATGAGAAAGGGGCTGCTGCTGGTTCTCTGGAAGTAGATTGAACATAACTGAGAAAATGTGGGGATTGACACAAGGGTCTGCATGTCCCATATGGTGACCACGGGAGACTGTGCCACTAACCAATGGACAAGTCTTCCACCGTCTCCCACCAGGGCGACAATCTGCTATGAAAGATCCTTGTTGGATGTTAGGTGTTTGCGCCTCGCTGGCTGTACCACTCACTGGTCTCTGGCAGGAATGCTGTCAGGGTGCAACCCATGCCACCCATCTGGGTAAGTGATTGGATTTGCTGTGGTCTCGGTGACAATCATTTTTCTACTTCATAGTGGGTGGAGGTTTGGGGTTAAATGCCTTTTGGATGCCACCTGGTGAGTCCTTGACCTCTCAGGCTCTTGAGTAAGGATGGCTTTGTTGGGAGTGGGCGTTGAGGGGGAGAGTGTCTGTGCTGATTTTGTACAAATCACATGTGGAGTATAGGGAGTGGTGTCACTGCAGTAAACCTCCCAGAACGACCTTCAGAATATTGAGTTACAGACGAGGAGAGATTGGGAATGGAAAGAACAGATCAGCGTTTGAACCAAAAGGATGTGGTGAACCGGAGGGCTGCCACTGAAGGTGAACGTTTGCTTAGGGGTCCTCCAGAAGTAAAGGGAAACTGATATCCTTTTAGCTCAGCATCACTTTCTCTTACTAGCCAAGACCCCAAATCAGGCTCCAGCCAGTTTTTCATTCAGGAGTTGACCATAACAATCCTTGTGAACAGGTAGAGAGAGGATGGATCTGGGCCATCAAGTCCTATGTCTGAGGGAAGGAATGGCCCTAAAACGAGTGTGTACCCACACAGACGTCCAGGCCCAGCTTGATTAGTCTTTATACTTTTCATCAAAATTCCTACTCCTTGCTCCTTTCTGTGCCTGGGTGGCCTTGGCCCTGCATGTCAGCAGACACCTCCTGTCCACGGTCAGTGACGCAGGATCAGATGCGCCGTGACTTAAGTGGAAAACAACTCAGAAACACAAAACCCACAAAAAAGCTCAATTATTATTTTTTCAATGTTTTCCTATAAGAGCCAAGTAGTGACATGTACAGAAAATGCCTTTTTGGAATATTGAAATCATTCTGCATGTAAAATATTGGTAATTACCTGTTTATATTAAAATTCTGAATAAATTATCTGAGAATATGCTTATTTTTGAGTGGTGTTCATGCTAGGAGCTGTGGCCCGACTGGGGTTGTGGCTGTGGGGTGGGTTAAGGGAGGCCTCCTGGGAAGTTGTTGCGTTCCTGTTCTGAGAGTGGTCGAATCCTTGTGCTCCTCAGCACGCAAAGCTGGGCATTAAGTATTCGTCCCATCAGAGTGCAGTCAAACCAAGGTCTAAACCTTGAACTATGTCCAAACCAGTCGGTAAGTAACTTCTCCAAGAGCTCAGGGCCCCTAGACTTCCAACCACTGCAGGATTACCAAGGGACCTCCAGGATCTTGTCCCATTCCAACATACTAG